GTGGGAGCCCTAAGCTTGTTTTTTTTTTTTTTTTTTTTTTTTTTTTTGTTTTTTTTTTCCTGCAAAACTATATGGTCCCATCTGAGGGTGATGGGAGACAGTGACATATCAGACATAAGATTCTCATAAGGAGCATGTGACCTGACCCCTTACATGCACAGTTCACAATAGGGTTCATGCTCCCCTAAGAATCTGATGCCACTGCTGATCTGACAGGGGATGGCACTGAGGTGGTAATGCCTGCAATGGAGAGTGGCTATGAGCTGTGGGGGACCAGAGGGTTTTTTTGCAACTCCATGGTGACCCAAGAGGGAAAGTGACAGGCTGCAGGTCTCAGGGCTGGCTGGTGGTCAGGGTCAGTACTAGACTGCAGGACTCCTGACTCAGACTAAGGCGTTCCCCATTGTGTGTTACAGAGACCGGCAGAAGATAAAGGGTCTCAGAGGACAAGGATGCTGGTTCTACCAAATGGTGCTGACCCTACTGAGAGTAAGTGTTTTGCTCCTGGAGATGCAGCAGGAATGGAGGGACTAAGGACAATGTTCTAACTGGTGTCCCAATTGCAGAGAGTGCTCTTCCAGAGCAATCCATGCCAGAAACTGGGGGTTCTATGTTACAGACCATCAAGACCCTAAATTATCTTCTCCTGTCTCTTCTCCTCACTCTACCTCATCCTCTCTGCACCCTATTGACAGCACTAACCACTCCGTCCATCCCCTCATTCACCTCCTCTCTTCTCCTTTGCTGTTCAGGACTTCTTGAGGGGCTGTCCTCTCCTGCATGGCACCGCTGACTTCAGTGGGCTAATTGAGCTCTTGATCTGTGCCTAAGCCCAATTTGCAGCACTGTTGTATAAACAATATGCCAATGCCAAAGACTTGATACAAGAAAGAGTGGAAAATATTTCACTCATTATTTTGTTAGTGAAACACCAGAGGTTGGGTCTAGGTCTTGGTGCTCAGAGAGCCAATCATTGAGACAAGTATTGACAAGGAAGAAGGCTTTAATTGGGTGCTGCAGCCAAGGAGAGGAGAGCTCAGTCTCAAATCCATGTCCAGGATTGACTAAAAGGAAGGGTTTATGGAGTAGGGATAAAATGTAACAATGTGTAACAAAACAGGAACTAGGGAGGGGCAAGGAAGCAATCAAGATGAAGGAGGGGTCCAGCATATCACTGGTTATAGTGATCTGGTGAGTTTCCCAGGCCTGAAGGTCATTTCCTGAAAAAGGAATTCAGATATAACAAATGTAAGATTCGAGCTTTAACAACGGAAAGGTCAATTTCTATGTTTATTTAAAAAACAAACAAACAAAAACCCTTTTGATGGAACTGTTGGGTTGATTTCAGTTCTTCCTATTTATTAGTCCTCCAGTCATGGGGAATCTGGTCCTGGATCTTTCTGGCTGCTCCATGGCTGAAGAGGGGCATTGTGGGAAGCTTCATACTGTGGGTGACCTCGTGGCCACCCAGGAGTCAAAAGTTAATCTAATACTAGAAGACTGTGTTTTTTCTGGATCTCAGTCTCTCTCAGCCCCACTTCCACCAAAGACAAATTATGGTGGGACCAATGTACCTGCAAAATAGGTTAGTTCCATAGACATGGCCTGTTTACCCACACCAAGTACAGCAAAACTCACTGTCCACAGAGGCTCTCCCAAGCTGGCTTTGTTGGAACCTCTCACAAGGACTTTGCAATCAAAATTCTTGGAAAATAACCATTTTCTCCAACTGTGTTCCATTGTAAAAGAAAACATTTTGTTATCGACCATATACAAACAAACACATTGCCGTGGATTAATAGTCACAAATAGTTTACAAATTCTGGAGAAATTAGGCAGAGAGAGAAACATGCCTCAAATTCTGTTTACACAAGTAATCAATATACTTAAAGTATACTTAGAGCCATAAAAATTATTTCAGTCCTCTGTTAGTTCAGCCTTGGCAATCAACTCCTGCCCTGCTTCATGTTTGGTTAACAATCACAATCTTTATGAACACATCACTCTGTCTTTTTTTTTTTTTTTTTTTTTTTGAGATGGAGTCTCACTCTGTCACCAAGCTGGAGTGCAGTGGTGTGATGTCACCTCACTGCAACCTCCACCTCCTGGGTTCTAGAAAGTCTCAAGCCCCAGCCTCCCGAGTAGCTGGGACCACAGATGTGTGCCACCACACCTGGGTATTTTTTGTATTTTTAGTAGAGACAGTTTTGCCATGTTCGCCAGGCTGGTCTCAAACTCCTGGCCTCAAGTGGTTCGCCTGCCTTGGCTCCCAAGGTGCTGGGATTACAGACATGAGCCACTGTGCCTGGGCAGACATTGGTCTTTCAATGACTGCACTAGAAGTTTTCTCTGTAATCCAATGACAGCAATCTCCACAGTTATCAGAAACCTTCATTCAAGAGTCATTTTCATGAACTCCCCTATAAAAGCAAGCCCTGGACTGTAGCTGATTAGAAGTCACTTTTTTTTTTTAGATGGATCAAAGCAAAACATCAATTGTGGATGACAAAATCTTAGGACAGCCATAGTCAAAGACACAATAGACAAGGGAGTTTGGTTATTTCTGTGACATACAATGATTTTACATAATAATTATTACTGATAATATATATTAAGACAACTCAGAATTTCAGGAATGTTGTAGAATCTCGGAACACATATTAACAACGTATCTCTGTACACATAACCCGAAGGAAGCTAAACCTCACCTCAGATGTGACAGTGCTTCCTGCATAATTCTAGAATAACTAATAAGTCTAATATGTCTCTCTTGGACATTTGCAATCAATTCAAATTATTGACTAAATTGAATTACCTTGGAAATAAACACCATTTAAACATTTCTGCTCTCACCTATGTTTCCAAATAGCAAAATACATAATGTACTATTTCTGCTCAGAACTTGTAAAAATAAGTCTTTTATTTTTATTTTTATTTTTTTTGAGACGGAGTTTCACTCATGTTACCCAGGCTGGAGTGCAATGGCGCGATCTCGGCTCACCGCAACCTCCGCCTCCTGGGTTTAGGCAATTCTCCTGCCTCAGCCTCCTGAGTAGCTGGGATTACAGGCACACGCCACCATGCCCAGCTAATTTTTTGTACTTTTAGTAGAGACGGGGTTTCACCATGTTGACCAGGATGGTCTCGATCTCTTGACCTCGTGATCCACCCGCCTCGGCCTCCCAAAGTGCTGGGATTATAGGCTTGAGCCACCGCGCCCGGCCTATTTTTATTTTTTGCCAGACCTTAAATCTCTTGTAGCTCTCTCGATCCTCAGAGGTAAGGAAAACCAACCAAAATTTAAATGGCTGGTGTCCTCTATCAATTTTTGAAAGCTGGACAAATGTAGCTTAGGAACTTTAGATAAATAGAGCAAAGAATGGAATGTTGGCAATGCATAGGAAACCAAGTGACTGTTCATAGAACCCAATAAAAACCTTCCATTAGAAACAAAAACATCAATGGTTTTATATACTATATGCATATATGGAAAGAGAGAGAGAGACACGTAAGTGAAACCCAAAGGAGAACAAACAGCAAATAAATGAAAATTAGAAGCAAAAATGAACACAACAGCAACCCCAAATTTTTCTGCTACTCAGCTTACTTTGTAGGCTACACTGTTACCCAGAGCCTTAGAAAACCGACATGATGGATATTTGATTCCTGACACATAATTTATTATTTTCGAGTCCACCAATATCACTATATATTTTGTGCAATTAAGAAATTCACGTTAGTTACATGGTCAATAAGTACTTTAGTACTAGCACTGCCTATGCAAAATAGCAAAGATAGTGTGAAGCAATGAAAACATGTATGTGAGTAATTAAGAAGCTCACTTTACATGACCAGTAAAAGTACTTTAGTGCTAGTGCTACCTATGCAAAATAGCAAATACAGTGTGGAGCAATGCAGACATGAAACTCACTTTACACATGGCCAGTAAGTACTTGAGTCCTAGTGCTATCTATGCACAATGGCAAATACAGTGTGGAGCAATGCAAACAGGTATGCAAAATTTTTGGCTCTACACTAAATCTGTCTTCATGCTTAACTATAATAAAAAAGAATTGTAGCAGGGCGCAGTGGCTCATGCCTGTAATCCCAACACTTTAGGAGGCCAAGGTGGGCAGATCACAAGGTCAAGAGATTGAGACCATCCTGGCCAACGTGGTGAAACACTTTTTCTACTAAAAATACAAAAAAATGAGCTGGGCGCATGCCTGTAGTCCCAGCTACTCAGGAGGCTGAGGCAGGAGAATCACTTGAACCCAGGAGGCGGACGTTGCAGTGAACCAAGATTGTGCCACTGCACTCCAGCCTGTAGACAGAGTAAGACTCCATCTCAAAAAAAAAAAAAAAAAAAAAAAAAGCCAAACTGCCAATGCATTTCTTTACAGTATTTCTTATTTTATCTTTATCAAGACTAAGAGCTTTAACTATAAAAATGTTAATTAGCCAAATTTCTCCAATCTTCTATTGGGTTTTAAAGAATATTTTATTATCTAAACTTTTTCAGCTTTCTATTTCTCTGTAGGTGCATGAAAAGAGACACACAGAGAAACAGAAAAAAACTACATGTAATTTACACAGACTATCTGTGACATGCCTGGGCTTTCCACGCAGTCCCAGGTTTTTTTCTTTTCCTCCTTCTCTTCTTTAAATAACCAGTCATTTTACTCCAGGATGAAAAAATTACTGTACAAGATTTTTTCTCATACAAAATTATTATCTTTTCCGTGTTAACTTTCTTTACCAGAAGTACATCTTCATATTTATAATTTTCTTTTTTTCTTTTTTTTTTTGAGAAGGAGTTTTGCTCTTGTTACCCAGGCTGGAGTGCAATGGCGTGATCTCGGCTCACCGCAACCGCCACCTCCCGGGTTCAGGCAATTCTCCTGCCCCAGCCTCCTGAGTCGCTGGGATTACAGGCACGCGCCACCATGCCCAGCTAATTTTTTGTATTTTTAGTAGAGACGGGGTTTCACTATGTTGACCAGGATGGTCTCGATCTCTTGACCTCGTGATCCACCCGCCTCGGCCTCCCAAAGTGCTGGGATTACAGGCTTGAGCCACCGCGCCCGGCATATTTATAATTTTCTTTACATCTCTCTTCCCTACAAACTGGCTTATTACTACCTTGTTTCATAAATCATCTTTTTCAAGTCCATAATTTGAATTAACTTTTAGGTAACTTCTGAATTAGACAAAATTATTCTCTTTCTCACTAATAACACATCTTTTTTGGCCTGTTTTATACACCCAATTACATATTAACTATAATTTTTATTTGTAGTAACCGTAAATTTTACTGAAACCCTAGAAAGCAAGAAATCTTGATATTAGCATAGAAATCAGATATTAACATTTTATAGATGAAAACCATTCTGGCCAAGTGTGATGGCTTACCTAAGGCCAGGAGTTCAAGACCAACCTGACCAAGATGGTGAAACCCTGTCTTTACAGAAAATACAAAAATTAGCTGAGTGTGGTGGCACACGCTTGTAATCCCAGCTGCTTGGGAGGCTGAGACAGGAGAATCGCTTGAACCCAGAAGGTGGAGGTTGCAGTGAGCCAAGAGTGCACCTCTGAACTCCAGCCTAGGTGACAGAGGGAGACTTTACCTCAAAAAAAAAAAGAAAGAAAGAAAAGAAAAGAAAACAATTCCACAATTTTTAGAAATGTATTTCCTTGTGTTTGTAACTTTCATAATTGGAAATGACTCAGATATCCAATGATGAACATCAAAAGTAATTTTAAGATTTTTAGTTACATGAAAAGATTACTTAAAACATGTATTCATTTACATTTACTCAGTTCTTTCATTAAGTTTATCCAGATTGCATCTGAAAATTGAGATATTATACACCATCATTTAAAGTTAGTTATTTCCTTGTCAATCTTTTTTTTTTTGAGACGGAGTCTTGCTTTGTCACCCAGGCTGGAGTGCAGTGACATCATCTCGGCTCACTGTAACCCTATAACCCTATAACCTCCGCCTCCTAGGTTCATGAGATTCTCCTGACTCAGCCTCCCGAGTACCTGGGATTACGGGCACCTGCCACTACACCCAGCTAATTTTTGTATTTTTAGTGGAGACAGGGTCTCACCATCTTGGCCAGGCAGGACTCAAACTCCTGACCTTACGATCAACCTCCCAAAGTGCGGGGATTACAGGCGTGACCCAGCGCACCCTGCCAATCATTTTTTTTAATAGCCAGTGACCATTAGGTGCTCACTTAAGAGCTTCAAAGTTAGTATATAGGCATTTTCACCAATAACTGAGAAGATTCAACTGTTCATTAAATTAATCTTACTCAGCAAAAAACTGACTCAAAGATCATTTGGTTTTGGTTGGATTTAAAATCTTACAATTTTTTTGTGCCAAACTGATACCTCAAAATATCTAGCAGAGACAAATATAAAACCCAGACAAAAAGGCATGCTGACAATTCTGGAGATACTTCTTTTTTTTTTTTATTTTGCCAATAATTTTAAAGCCGGCTTGTTTAGTAAGGATTTACTTAAGTCACATGAACTTGAAAATTGCTTGGACTGACTGACTTAATTTACGAGCACTCTCTTACCTATAAGTCAATTTGGTAGACACAACAGGTAACTTAATAAATGTACAGGCTGGGCACGGTGGCTCACACCTATAATCCCAGCACTTTGGGGGAGGCTGAGGCAGGTGGATCACAAGGTCAGGAGTTCGAGATCAGCCTGACCAACATGATGAAACCCCGTCTGTACTAAAAATACAAAAATTAGCCAGGTGTGGTGGTATATGTCTGTAATCCCAGCTATTCAGGAGGCTGAGGCAGGAGAATCGCTTGAACCCAGGAGGTAGAGGTTTCAGTGAGCTGAGATACTGCACCTGCACTCCAGCCTGGGCAACAGCAAGACTCCGTCGCAAATAATGATAATGATAGTATAAATGTACATACACATAAACGCATCTAGACCTATACACACAACACATAAAGACCCAATAGCTTTTACCTTTGAACTCTGGCCACGAGAGAGCAATATAAACTCACCAGTCTACAAATATGTTCACATGGCTGAACTTTGTTAGTCCCAATAGGTAATGCAGTGAAGGTGTGAACCAAAATTTTAGGTAAAGCAGTTGCCGTGGCAGTTTGGTTTTTAAGGGCCAAACCTCCTCAGACTCCAAAGAACACTGCGGTCAAGCAGCATTACAGACACCACCACCTAGAAACAACTAACCTGGCCCAGCCCTGCTTGGAACAGCAATGTAAGAGCCTCAATACAGGGAACTCCTTCCCACCTTCTCATTCAGCAGCAAACTCCAGTTTCCAATTTGGGGGCCAAACAGTATTACACAATAATACCAAGTTTACTGAATTCTAATTTCCCATGACACTACCAAACACATACAGGTAATCCCCAAAACACAATCCAACTGCTGCAACACCAGACCAGCCCCAGGAGTATCCAGACTGAAATGGTCAGGGTGCTTCCTCTCCTCACTGGTTGGGCTTGATCAACCTGCCAACAAAATTTTCTTTTTTTTTTTTTTTTTTTTTTGAGATGGAGTCTTGCTCAGGCTGGAGTGCAGTGGCAAGATCTCGGCTCACTACAACCTCTGCCTCCTGCGTTCAAGCGATTCTCCTACCTCAGCCTCCCGAGTAGCTGGGACCACAGGTGCACGCCACCATGCCCAGCTAATTTTTGTATTTTTAGTAGAGATGGGGTTTCACCATGTTGGCCAGGATAGTCTCGATTTCTTGACCTCGTGATCCGCCTGCCTTGGCCTCCCAAAGTGCTGGGGTTACAGGCGTGAACCACCGCGCCCGGCCAAAAATTTCTTTCAAATTTCTCAAATCCAGAGGAACCAGTCCTGCTGTCTGGTACCCACGAAAGACACTCACTTTCCCCAACACAACACACAATTACAGACAAACCCCCAAGAGTATCCAAACTGAAAGAGTCAGGGTGCTTCCTTTTCACAGTCACTTGGGCCTGTTCAGCCTGCAAATGAAAATTCCTTTAAAAATTTCCCGCATTGAGAAAAGCAGAGCCTGTGTCTGAGCCCACAAAGCACAATCACCTATCCAGATGCAAATGTCAAATTTCAAAGGCAGTTCTTCTGGGGTAATCAGGAATGTGGTTGGGGCCAGCTACAGTGGGACCACAGAGAGACTGAAACTCACCTCCAGCCAAAATTAGGGGGGCAATTGCTTAGGGGGGCTTCTGAGACTCCTTGGCCATGGCAGTAGAGCCATGAGCAACACTTCCCTAGTCAGGGAACCAAAATCTGTTACCAAAACACCAGGGGTTTAGTCTAGGTCTTGCTGCTCGCTGTACAGAAAGCCATTCAATGAAATCATGAGTGTTGCCAAACCACTTTAACAGGTGCTGCAGCAGAGGAGACGGAAGCTCAGTCTCCCCATCTCCCTGACCCACTAAAACTAGGGCTTTATGTAGCAGGCAAGAAATGTAACAAGGTGTAAGAAGTAGGAACCAGGATGCAGGAAGGAAATAATCAAGATGAATGAGGGGTCCCTCATTCCATCACTGCCTGGATGTAGTCATCTGGTGAGTTTCAGTTCTTTGATACTTTTTTTGAGAGGCCTGAAGGTCTTTCCTGAGGAAGTAATTCAGATAAAACAAATAAAAGTTTCAAGCAGTTTAAGACCAGAAGGGTCAATCTCTGTTTATCAAAAAAATAAAAAACAAACAAAAAAAACCTTCCTATGGGACAATTGGGTTTCAGTTTTTGTATATTGATCCCATATTCAATTATATTTTACATATAATTATACCATACATTACAATAAATGTCACTTCTTTTTATGTTCTTTAAATGAGGCTGTTAGAAAACAGTCTAGTATTCCTGGTCCCTTCCATCCCTGTGGATGGTGGTGTGCACACACATCGCATTCCATTTAATCCCTGGTAGTCCTGAGATGTGGGCAGGGTTGCTTTGTCTTCAGGTTCCTTTCTTGCTCAGGGTCTGCCTGCCCCCACCTAGCTCTGCCCCAGCCTCAGGGCATGAGACTGAGCTGGGTGTAAACAGAGGTCCCCTGCCCCAGACCCTGCACTTTTCACAAATGCAGAAGTGGTCGCCCTGGGACCTGCTCCCGTGGGAAGTGCAGCCCAGGCAGCCTCCCTCCTCTGAGCTCCCACTGCAGCCACGCTCTCTCCCTCCCTTGAGCTCTCACCCACTTTGCTTTCTGCCTCTGTAGCATCCATCCATCCTCCCCGGGTGGGTTCTCAGCCCTCTCTGAGGACAGATTCTCTGCTGACCTTGATGCCTCTCTGCACCTTGGGTACCAGGGAGGCCAGGCAGCATGAGCGGGCCCCTGTGGATGGAAGGTGGGGGTACAATGGAGCAACAGGTTTGCCCAGGAAGGGGGCTCTCCAGGTTCTCCCTTGGGTTCTGGGTCTGATGTGGGATCCTCTGTCCTTTCTGAGTCCCAGCTCACCTGGCTGTCTCTGTGGCCTTTTCCACCCAGCTCTGAGGCAGTGCTTCCACCACTTTACAGACAACGTGCCCTTTAACTCCTGGGATCAGCTCATGAGGGAGCTGGACCTCACGGAAAATGAGATCTGCGTGGCCAGAGCTGAGGCAGCAGGCCCAAGGGATGCCTTGTATGTAATGCTGACGAAATGGGTCAACAAAACTGGACGGAACGCCTCTATCCACACCCTGCTGAATGCCTTGGGGATGCTGGGAGAGAGACATGCAAAGGAGAGGATTGAGGACCTCCTCGTGAACTCTGGAAAGTTCATCTACCAGGAAGATGGCACAGGTGCTGCCCATGTCTCTGAAAAAGTCTCGTTTTACTAGAGGCTTCCTCTTAGGTGTTAATACTTTTTAGGTTATTTAAACGTTTATTTAAAATAAATACTTAGCTGGGCGCAGTGGCTCACACGTGTAATCCCAGCACTTTGGGAGGCTGAGGGAGGTGGATCACTTTAGGTCAGGAATTCAAGACCAGCCTGGACAACATGGTGAAACCCCCATCTCTACAAAAACAAAACCAAAAATTAGCCGGGTGTGGTGGCGGGCACCTGCAATCCCAGCTACTCAGGAGGCTGAGGCAGGGGAATTGCTTGAGACCCAGGAGTGGAGGGTGCAGTGAGCCGAGATTGCACCACTGCACTCCAGCCTGGGCGACAGATTGAGACTCCATCCAAAAGGAAAAAAAGGAAAAGCAAATCCATCTGATCTCCTGGAGCTGGGACACGTTTCTTCTTCTGCCTGTGGACATCAGAACTTTAGGATCTGTACCCCTTGGACTCCAGGGCTTACACCAGTAGCCGCCCCCCTGCCCCCCACCCCCGCCGCGAGGTTCTAAGAACTTTGGCCTTGACCTGAGAATTACACTATTGGCTTGGCTTCCTTGGGTCTCAGGCTTTTGGACTGAATTGAGCCCTGCTTCCAGCATTCCAGGGTCTCTACTGTGCAGATGGGCTGTCGTGGAACCTCTCACGTTCCCTGTCACATGCATTAATTCCTCCAATAAGTCCCATCTCACGTACAGTCGTTTGCCTCATAACAACATTTCAGTCAAGGGAACAGCATATAAGATGGTAGCCATCCAGCAAGCTAAGGTTAATTTATTAATTATGTGTTTACCTTGAGTTCAAGTCACAATTGAAGTACATGTACATTTGGAGATTTGGACGTTTCCGTATAAAAATACTTTTTTTTGGAGGGGGAAGCTCTCGTCCTAAACAAATGTGTTATTTGGTACCTATGCAAAGATTTATCTAAGGAAGAAAAGAATTGCTCCCATAAATGAAGCATTTTCGTAGAAAAATGGGAGCTTACCTAAATGTTTTTCAAGTTCACCTGATCTGAGATAATCTTTAGTAAATAAAAAGGTAGTTTAAGTTTCTTGGTTTAATTAAAACAGACAAATCTTCAGAGTTGTCAGCATTTACAGTGCACACATACAACTTCTACCTGGATTTACTAATCAAAACACTTAACATGTGTTTACGATCATAAAACTGTACATTCAACTAAGGAACAAAATGTACAAGGAAAAGATAAATTTCTTGATGTATATGAAACGCGAGAAGGAAAAAGGGAATTGAAAAGAGCCACATATTTTCAATGTGGTTATTTGTATTTTAAAAATATTTTTGTGCTTTTTATGTGTTATGTGATGTTTGTATCTTTTTGATACAATGTTTATAAGATGTCTATTTTTAAGAATTTTTTATATCTAATATTTGGTAACTTAAAAATCTAAGTTAAATGACGGTTATTTGTAGTAGTCTATTTTCTATTGCTATAAGTGAATACCTCGGAGTGGGGAGTGCGTAATTCTTCTAAGGAATATAAATTCATGTATTGTTTTGTGGGGCCAGGAAGTCCGAGGACAAAGGGCCAAATCTAGGGAGAGCCTTCTTGCTGATGGGGTCTGATACGGTTTGGGTCTGTGGCCCCACAAAAGTCTCATGCTGAATTGTAGTCCCCAGTGTTGGCAGTGGGCCTGGTAGAGGTGATTGGATCATGAGGGCAGGTTTCTCATAAACAGTTTAACACCATTCTCCTTGGGACTGTCCTTGTCGCAGTGAGTTCTCATGAGATCTGGTTGTTAAAAAATGCGTGGCACCTCCCCACTCTCTCCCTCCTGCTCTGGCCATGTGAAGTGCTGTCTCTCCCTTTGCCTTCTGCCGTGATTGTAACTGTCCTGAGGCCTCCCCAGAAGCCAAGCAGATGCCAGCCTCATGCGTCCTGTACAGCTTGTGGACTTGTGAGCCAAATAAACGTCTTTTCTTCATAAGTCACCCAGTGTCAGGTAATAATTTATAGCAATATGACAACAGACTAATGCGGGGTCTCTCTGCAGAGTCCCAAGTTGGTACAGGGCATTATATGGCAAGGGGACACACTAAGAAACAAACAGGCTTTTATAAGAGAGCCACACTGTATTAGTCTGTTTTGCGTTGCTATAAAGAAATACCTGAGCCTGAATAATTCATAAACAACTGACAGTTAATTAGCTCATGGTTCTGCAAGCCGTACAGGAAGTACAGCAGCTTCTGCTTCTAGGAGGCCTCAGGAAGCCTCTGATCATGGCAGGAAGAAAAGGGAGAGTGAGCTGTCTCACACGGCCACAGCAGGAGGTAGAGAGAGGGGGAGGTGCCACACACTTTTAAACAATGATATCCGGGCTTGGTGGCTCATGCCTGTAATCCCAGCACTTTGGGAGGCCGAGGCAAGCAGATCAGGAGATCAGGAGATCAAGACCATCCCGGCCAACATGGTGAAACCCCATCTCTACTAAAATACAAAAAGGTAGCGGGGTGTGGTGGTGCGAGCCTGTAGTCCCAGCTACCTGGGAGACTGAGGCGGGGAAATCGCTTGAACCAGGGAGGTGGAGATTGCAGTGAGCCAAGATCACGCCACTGCCGCACTCCAGCCTGGCAACAGAGCAAGACTCTGTCTCAAAAAACAAAAACAAAAGCTAGATTTCTTTGAAATCTATGAAATATACCGTCTGGATGGCTCATGCCTGTAATTCCAGCACTTTGGGAAGCCGAGGCGGTAGATCCCAGGACAACTCACTCAGTATCGGGAGAACGGCACCAAGCAATGGCGGCAAAGGATTCATGAGAAACCTCCCACCACCCAGTCCCCTCCCACCAGGCCCTACCTCTAACACTTGGGATTGCAATTCAACACACAGATCCAAACCCTATCACGCACAAATTATAACTACTCCACATCCATGACAACGCATTAATCTGTAAAGGATTAATCTGTTCATGAAGGCAGATCCCTCATGATGAAATCATATCTTATAGCTCCTACCCCTTAGTACTGTTCAGTGGGGATTTCGTTTTAATATGATTTGCAGAGCAGGAAAACATTCAAGCCATAGCAATATGTATTGAATATTTAGATCATTTCTAAATATTAATCTGATACTGAAATATTTATTGCTGAACATAAATTTAGAACTTATTAACTCTGGCTACCTATTACAGAAGAAAAAAAGGTAATTGGGGCCTATTAAACATTTCCTCTGCCATTTCCTGTCCTGTGTCATAGGACAATTTTCCAATTGTTCTAGGAATCATGTTTCTAGAAATTATGAAATCATGTACTTGCAAACTTGGAAGAAAACAGTTCATGATTGCACATTTTCTAGTTTTCTAGTGTTCACTAGAAATTAAAGTCACTAAGAGTTAACAATTCTTATTAATTAACCAAATTGGCTGGATGAGGTGGCTCACACCTGTAAGCCAAGCACTTTGGGAGGCCAAGGCATGCTAATCACGAGGTCAAGAGATCAAGACCATCCTGGCCAACATGATGAAACCCCATCTCTACTAAAAATACAAACATTAGCTGGGCATGGCCGCATGCACCTGTAATCCCAGCTCCTCGGAAAGGTGAGGCAGGAGAATTGCTTGGCCCCAGGAGGCAGAGGCTGCAGTGAGCCGAGATCGCACCACCACTGCACTGCAGCCTGGGTGACAGTGAGACTCCGTCTCAAAAAAAAAAAAATATTAACCAAATTAATGTAATTAGAATTTCTAGAAGTAATAGGAAAAGTGACATTTTATGCAAAGCATAACAGAAAAATAAGATGTATTTTTTTCTTCGAAATCTATGAAATATACCGGCTGGGTGTGGTGGCTCATGCCTGTAATTTCAGCACTTTGGGAAGGTGAGGCGGTGGATCACCTGAGCTCAGGAGTTCGAGACCAGCCTGGCCAACATGTTGAAACCATGTCTGTACTAAAAATACAAAAATTAGCCAGGCATGGTGGTGGGCATCTGTAATCCCAGCTACTTGGGAGGGTGGGGTAGGAGAATTGCTTGAACCCAGGAGGTGGAGGTTGCAGTGAGCCAATATTGTACGTCTGCACTCCAGCCTGTGGAACAAAGTGAGGCTCTGTCGAAAAAAGCAAAAACAAATGAACAAAAAACCATGAGACAGAAAAGATGGATTTTTGTTAAAATAAAAAAAATATTGTTCTAGTTTGGAAGTTATTCAAAGGTTATTGCTTCTTGGCCTTTTGGCTAAGATCCAGTGTGGAAGTTATTCAAAAGTTGTTTCAGAATGAATCAATAAATAACAGATAAAGCGGAATGGATATTGTCTTAGTCTGTTTTGTGCTACTATAATGGAACACCCAAGACTGGGCGATTTAGTTAAATATGGAGATTTATTTTTCGCTGCTCCGGAGGCTTGGAAGTCCAAGGTCAAGGGGCCTATATTTGTCGAGGGCCTTCTTGTGGCCTCATCACCTGGTGAAAGGTGGAGGGACAAGAGGGCATGCATGGGGGGAAGGGAAAGCGTGCAAGAGGGGGCCAAACTCACTTTTATAACAAATCTACTTCTGCAATAACGAACCCACTCCCACAATAATGTATTAATCCATTCATATGGGAAGAACCCTTTTGATATAATCATCTCTTAAAGGTCCCACCTCCCCACACTGTTGCATTTGGAATTAAGTTTCCAACACACAAACTTTGTGGGGGCGGGGGAACACATGCAAACCGCAGCAGAGATAAAAAGTTGAAAGAGGAGAAACGAGAGAATCGTACGTGCTCAAGTTGACTAAATGGAATGAATTTATTATATGACTTTTAAAAAGAAGCCTAAATATTGAGACTGAACTGATTCAAAACCAGAATTTGAATTTCTCTGTTAAAAGGACAAAATAGACCAGGTGTGGTGGCTCACGCCTATAATCCCAGCACTTTCGGAAGCCGAGGTAGGTGGATCACCTGAGATCAGGAGTTTGAGATCAGCCTCGCCAACATGGCGGAACCCCGTGTCTACTAAAAATACAAAAATTAGCTGGGCGTGGTGGCAGGTGACTGTAATCCCAGCTACTTGGGAGGCTAAGGCAGTAGAATCGCTTGAACCTGGGAAGTGGAGGTTGCAGTGAGCCAAGATCTCACCACTGCCCCCCAGCCTGGGCAAAAAAGCAAAATTCCATCTAAAAAAAAAAAAAAAAAAAAAAAGGACAAAATGGGTTTTCTTTT